TTTTACCTACAGAGAATTAGTGACTTATTTCAAAACTTATTCTTACAGAGCTGTGAGGGCTGTGACCTTTGGCAAAATGTGGGAACAACTAGCAGAGCATATGAGACAGTGCAGCCAGGAGGATATTATTATGAAATACATAACTATGCAACTTGTTTGAAGAGACGGACGAATGGGATGGTGAGTAGATTCTGTCTCTTCAATCTAGTTACCTATTAAAATCTTTTTTATGGAAACATCTATTGACAGGCAGTGTCCAAATTGCCATAGACAACTGCTAAAGTCATGGAGTTGTATGCAGCTGCAGTGGAGACTAAGCCAGTCCAGCTGCTGGCTGCTAGTTCTGCTCGCCTGCCTATCTCTCTGCAGTTAAGCAAATACCATTTGCTCCTATACTGATCTGAAATGCCTTAGCAAGGGATCAGATAGACATCTTAACCAACACAAGAGAAAGGGGTGACTATGTAAGTGAACATAGGAAGAAGCTCAGTAGCCAGAAGTACGGTTGGTGTAGGGGCTCAGCAGCCTTGCTATTTAATCAGGTTAAGCGATTACCTTCCCATTTTGGCCCCATCTGCTCATCACTGCCCTAAGTCTGGTGGTTACCAGCCCTCAGACCTGCCACCATAATTGCATGCATAGCTGCTCCCTGACCCAGCTCTGTCAAAATGAATGCAGCTGAGCTTAAACACCTCTTTTATAGTTCTTGGGGGGCTTTTGTTTCTGCTTTTAGCTGGATCACTTTGTCAGGACCAGGTTAGGGAGCAATTAAATGCACAGTTATGTTGGCAGATCTGAAGGGGCAGCTGGACCAGAAGCAACACATTTGACCATGGTCTAAGTAAACAGCTGTCCAAAGCTTTATTCAAACAGATGTGGAGAAAAATGTAGCTAATAAGTCTTGAAGTAAAATTATAATTTACAAGAGACTGCACATATCAATTTTTTTTCTAAGAGATACAATCACTAGTTTAGGAGATGATAATTTTCTGCAGTCTTAAGCACAGTGAAGTATCTAGGAGGTATTTTAGGAAGCCACAACTTAGGTTAAATGGATGTGTTAATGCAGGCGAGTATTTTGCATTCTGTTAGGAATGCACGGGGCTGTGAATTGCTTGCACCAGTCTCAACCAAGTGCATTCTAATCATTTCTGCACACTGTTATTAATTAAGCATTGAGAGGTTCTGTTTTCAGACCACAATTTTACATACATTTAGAAGTGGGTAACTCAGTACTACAACGAAAGAATCAAATATTATTAGTCTTGCTACCCCAACTGCTTTTTTCCATGCACATTTCTTGTTCTGATACAAGATTTTGTGAACTGATTCAGGTTCGTATGATGGGGGAAGGTGCTCAGTGTGCTTCCTGGGCCGCTTCACCACAGAGCAACACAAATCCTGATGCTGGCTAAAGGGGAAAGAAAGATCAGAGACAGAAATAAGCAAACAGAATACAAGTCAGGAAAGGGTGTTTCATTTGGCAGCAGTTTTGGCCTAAAATGTATGTAAAACCACCCCTTCAATCTTGCTTCTGGAAAAGAATTATGTAAAATCCAGATCTGTACAGAACTGAACTGTATTGGTTTACAGGAGAAACAGGATTTGTGCTCCTCTGAATCAACTACTGCTGATGTGCATCTGAGTATCTGAGATGCAGAATGTGAACTAACCCAAAAGCATTTTCTGCTTTCTGTTGCTCAGCACCACTTCAGAGAACTTTAAACTTCCTTGTTTCAAAAAGTGAAGTATTTAATACAAAAATGTGTAGTGTTCTCTTCAGAAATAGGGAATTCATTGCAGATTTGACTGACAAAACCATTAGACATATAAATTTGCACACACACTATGACTGTGTTGCAGATCTGTGCTCTAAAAGCTGGAAATTGAGCATGACCATAAAGAACAGACACTTTCCCAACTAGTTAGAAAATATACCTGCCTCAGTTATCCCCCAAACACTTTCTGATTTGATTTATGTTCTGCTGCTTTAAAAGAAGAAATGGGCCAATATTAAATAATGCACATACTTGTATAGAGGATATTTATACCAAAAATAAACTTTCTCTTGGGACAATATTTTTAAAGCAGCATTTCAAGCCTCCTGGCAATGGTTTGTTAGAGAAGTTAGTTACTTATTTAGAATAAAGTTCTCAGAAATTTTTTAACCACCAACATTTAAGTTGCAGGGAATAAGGTTAATAATTCAAGTTTTTCCATTTCTTCCAAATTACTTTTCTTTGTATATAAAATCTAGCAATTACACATGCAGAGGGAAGCACAGTATGTATTTAAGCAGAGAAAATTATATTTAAGAAACGCATGGAGTATTTTAGAAGAAATGATATGCATATGCAAAGCAATTTTTCTTACTGCATGCTGTAGAGTTTAATAAGTCTAAAACAAAACACATTACCTTGTCTGATTAGACCTTTCCTCTTGCACCTATATATATATATTTTTTTATTTGGCAAACAAATATCAATAATTTATGATTTGCATTTTCTCCAACAATGAAGTAAGAAACACTGAATAAATATTGTTTTCCCTGAAGAGACGCAGTACTTGTTATACAGACTGTGAAATGGAAAAACATGCTCACAGGATGAATATGGTCTGTGACTCCTAATTTTTCCATAAAATCTAAAGACCTCCATGCAGTGACGCATCTGAAGCTTCATTCTAACTAATAGACTCAAGCCCACCATTTTAGACTCAACCACAGATTTTTTTTAAGGAAGTGGCAAACCATTGCTGCTAGTTGAGAAAATGAAAATTAGTCCCTGGGAGAGGATACAATCAATGGTGTGTTAATCTAACCTTCAGCTGTTAATGATTTGCACTACTATTTCCCCTGATGCTGTGGGTTCTGCTGAAATATTGTTTTAGCAGTTTCTGTCAGCTTTCCCTACCTTTTTTTCTTCCTGAAAAGGAAAGACTGAAGTGAAAATCTTAGCAACGGGTTTTGTGTGTGCTACTTTTTTTCCAACCCAGTTCTTTCACACTATGGAAGCAGAGGACAGAAGGGTAAACTGTTCTGTTTTTTCAGTTCAAGCCTTTTTAGCTAGTCTAACATTTCAAACTCTTCTTGTTTATAAAAGGGAATCTACTCTAAGCAGTCACTACTGGAACTCTGATATTAACATACAACTAAATAGTTTAGAAGGTCTGTTTTTTTGCCTGCTTCTTTGATATTCAGTCAGAAATTTCAAAGCTTTTTTTTTTTTTTAAAAAAAAAGAGCCACTGAGAAGAGTCTTGTTTGTCCAGCCATGAGAGAATAGTGCAAGTGACCCACATGAGGCTTCTTGTGCTGGTAAATCAATGAATAAGTGTCCTGATCCTGTAGATCTGCCTGGTCCTACAAAGTTTGCATTCCTTAAGGATCCTTTCGTTCACTCGAAATAACTTACAAAATATTTCTTATCCAAAAGAAAACTGCCTAGCCCACAAGCCAAATTCTGCAGCAAAGTACTGAGTGCCAAAATAATAAAAGTACTCAGCACCTTGCTAAGCTGCGTTCCACACATGCAACATTAGTTTTCTTAACAAGCATTTGTTCCAGGAATTAGTGCCTCTGAAGCATTTTAGTATTCCTTAAATGCAGCCAAAAGACCTCACAAAACCATTTAAACTTCATCATACATATCTCAGTCCCCATGTTTAACTTCATCAGCCCTGAATATTTCAGATAAGAAAAATAAATATGGTAAATCTGAAGTAAACTACTGTCTAGAAAAATATGAATACATTGAAGAAAATGGTATTTGGACTATCTCGTTTTAGCTGCATGAAAATGAGAGTAAGTTTTCATTAGTGTTGTGTTTCAGGGCACACAAGTTCAGTACTTAAATATGTAATTTATCATAGTTTAATATATAACAAATTCAATGTTCCTTCTTCACAATCATGTTCACAAGTCTTGTTAAAGTCTTGCATAAAATTGTTTGAATACAGACTTCTCACTTTTCATTTATTACAAAGACTATAAATACTGTACAAATTCAAACATTCAATAAATAAAGTGGATGACTAGCAGATTTCAGAATTTAAGTAAGAAGAAAATGGATATAACTTGTCAATATGTTTTTTGTTGTTGTTGTTGTTTCAGTGCTTTTTAAATGTATTTTATCACTAACTTAGATTGTAAAATTCACAATGACAAGAATGAGGGACCTGTAAGTAGTGAAGACTGCATTTCATAGATTCAAAACATTTAAGGATGATCAAATATATCATCCATATATGTGTGGCCAAATTTAAGAACACTGCCTATGAACGAGGAATGTAAACCACAACCTAAAAAAAGTATTTGAGGATGAAAGATGGCTCAAAGGACTAACATGGACCTGGGATATATAAAGAGAGGAAGAAAAAGTAGAAATAGAGAACAAATGACTTCATTACTTGGCACTGATGTATCAGTTTCTGAAATATGGAGTGTATTTGAGACATCAACACTATGAAGGCTGAAAAACTGTTGAGGATTCAAAAAAGAACTGTGGGAATATTGGAAAGAACTGAAAATATACTATACAGTCAGATCCAAATAATTGAAACTTTTCTTCCTGTAATGAACAAATTATATGCAATGATGGTAATCTGTAAATTCACACCTAGGAAACAGAAACCTAACCCCTCTTTAACAGAAAAAAACATAATCAAGTCTACCATCTGGAAGTTCACATAATGAAAAGTAAGATCTAAACCACAATATTCTTCAGAATTATTTAGAGTATCTGAAAAGCACTTAAGAATTAGTCAGATTCCCTATTAATATATATTTAGTATTTAATAATAGCTATTTATTTAAAATACACTCACCATGAAGTAATTCAAGTTAATCTTATGACTTCTACGCAGAAGAGAAAAAATAGTGATTGTGTTTACATTTCTCTCAAGCATTAAAATCTTTTAGCACTCCACTGAAATCAGACAAGATAATGACTGAATTCAAAGAACTTTGAAAATGATTTTAAGCTAATATAACATGCATACTTACTCTGGAAGTCGAGACAGGATACCCAATGAAAGAGAACTTATGCCATCGTTGATCCGACCTGGCAGTTTATGCTGCTGAACCCAGCTGACAGCAAACTCTAACACAATAAAAGCAATGAAGAATGGAATGCTCTGCAAAAGAATGGAAAAAAAAAGAAATCACGGTACAAGCAGGATTAGATCCACCTTTTCAGAGTCCTTAGAAAGAAACTTTTTACTCAGAAGGTGGTGAGGCTCTGGAACAACTGCCCAAAGAAGGTGTGGACGCCCTATTCTTGGAGGCATTCGAGACCCCTAGGTTGGAAGGGGCCAACATAGAATAGGCTGATCTGGTAGGTGGCCCACAGCTGGTTGTTTGTATTGGGTTTTTAAGGTTCCTTTCAATCCAAGCCATTCTATGATTCAAAGAGCATCTCATGCCACCATATACTTCTAAGCTTGTGTAATGCGATGGAAAGCGCAACAGAGCAGAAAGGTACCAGGCCACAGTGAGTGAGGATCCACTCAAATACAACAGCAGTGGGCGCAGAAATAAGAAACTGCTTACCTTCAAAAGTCCTGTAAGGCCCTCAGGTAGGCAGAGATCTCCAGATGAGATACCCTCACCTCCACTGCCAACCCTTAAATGAAGTCCAGGAGGGGTAAAGCCAGGATCTTCCTTGGGTGGACTTACCTTCCTACAAGGCACTCAATCCATCCGTGACAGCATTTCCACTACAGGTTGACTGTCATCTTTCTAGCTATTATTTCACCCTGATAAATACAGTAACGCTCCTCATGGATTTTATAAACAAGTACAACCTACTAGGCTGTCATTTCATATATACAGCCAGCATAAATCCAGTGCAATAACCTCATGCCATATAAATTTATATTATCTGCACATAAATTCTTAAACAGCAACAAAACAAAATACAAAAGTCTTTCCAAACTCACTTCTCATATTTAAGTAAATCAGTGGTAGAGGCAACATTAGTGGACACCTCTAACCCCAAGGTAAAACAGAATCTGCTTTCAATTTGTTATGGTTTTTTTGATAGTGTTCAGCTACTGAATCCAGCATCCAACAGCACCATCTAAAAGAGATATTAATGTGAGTTTCTTTCTAGCTGGCCTATCTGTTGCCATGTTTTTCGCTGCTGATAGTAACCGCTCTTCTGTATGAGTTTTCACCAGAGAACCTAGGAACTATGTGAATTAACTATGAAGCCCATTCTGATCTTGGCCAAGTAGCAATGATGCAATGCACTCTTTTGTCTTTTGTGTTGGCACTAGCTCTCAAATCATTTTCAGCCTTCCAGAAGTGAACTGCAATATTGTGCGAGACAAGCATTTTTCAGTAACAACACTTCAGTCTAGGATTTAACTCAGAATGTATATCCTGTGTCTCAGATCTATGGACAAATTGAAAACACACAAGAAAAGCGCCCCCCAGTGAAAGGTATGGGCATAACTAGTAATAGGACTGCAATGCTACTATGACAATGTAATGCTTCAAATTTTTGCTACAGCTGTTTTCAAATTTTCATCAGCATCCTGAAGAATGAAAAAAGATTGACCAGAAGTAATTGGCAGAGCACATGCATTCAGGAGTTTTTGTTTATTTGTTTGTTGCTGATTTTTTGTTTGTTTGTTTTGTTTTTATTAACACAGAAGTCCTAACAGTCCTTGCAGTTCATGGAAGGAAAAAGTGATGATGAGGCAGTGATCAGCCCCCACCAACCACCATCTCCACCATAAAAGGTTATGCAGCAACAAAAATAGGAAGCAGCAATTTTCGTTCTCTCAGATCTCTGTGCACATAAACATTCCTTAAACCATCTCACTCTGTAGGAAAATTTAGGTCACCTTTTCTGTGGTATTATAGGCATAAAATTCCCACCATGTTTTTAAGGGATAGAGAAATGCAACACCAATGAGTTTTTATCCCACCATTAATTGGAAGTAGCATATCGTCAGTCATGTCCCTCTTAGCCTTCTATCACTGCCCCCTTCAAGTGACCTGCAGACATGTGGATCCACACACTGAAACCCTTCATAGTGCCACTATACCATATTTTCATGGCAGAAGCATGATGCTTCTGCAAATGCCACTGCATTTTGGAGGGTGCTCATTTTTGTTGCCAAGTGAGACATGATCTGGGAATTCCTACCAGGCTGGGACACCAAAGAGACTAAGATGGATATAGACCAGACTGCTCAGTCGAAAAAGAATGGGATGATTCAAACCATGCAAGCAGGAAGAGATTTATAGTGTCTAGGAAATGTGAAAGTTCATAAACTGCAGCAGCTCAGGGTTAGGTTACAATAACAGATGAACGGAGATTAATATCAACATGGCACTTTTTAATTTCGATGCCTAGCTTGCATTTTAGATATCTAAAGGCCTCCTTGGGATACATGCTAGCTGATGATATAAAACCTTTGAAAGCAAAGGAAAACCTAAGGATAAAGCCTAAACAATTCCCAGCAAAAACAGTGTGGTAAATCTTCTGATACTTGAAACAATAAAAAGCCACCCTCCATTTGATATCATTGAAGGATTCTAGAAAAATATAAATGCTTCTTGTTTTGTTTTAATTCCTTCATTTCTAGGTAAATACGATTATTAATGTTGTGTTTAGCTATAGCAACTAAAAGAAAAAGAACAAACAACAGATCCCTAGCTTATCAAACAGGCCAGATAATTGTGCTTGCACAACTAGCAGAGATAAAAATGGTCTTAGTAAGAACAGCTAAGGAATATTTGACCACAATATTAAGAGTCATCTCTAGCATAGACTATAGGCAGGTTTGAAGTTATAGATATCGAGCAGCAGTAGCTGCACTTCAAATTGAACAGACTCAGAGCAAATTAACTGGAATTCTTTTTTCATGAAATGAAAGTAGTACACAGGTATTATATGATGCTTGTATTCTGTGTAGCACTTTACCTACTAACTTCTGAAATGGTTAAAATACTTGACTTTATACTAATACAACTTCTTTCCCATTGACTTCATTAAATATTTTCTTCCCACTGTGAAGCTGTGAAGCAGCCAAGATTTGACAGCACTTTTTGACTTACAAATAGGGAGTGTCAGAGTAAAGAGGATAAAGAAACATTCAGGCAGTCTTAACCCCCTGCCCATCAAGGAGCTTGTAAAATTTATGACATACCTTTTAGTATCTAAGAAATTATTACCTCTCTCCCATACATCCACATTATGCTGTGTTCAAAGCAGATCAAAGTGATCAACTGCATCAAGACTAGCACGTACTATTTCTATGAACATATACCTAATAGTTATTTTCACAGGTCAGGATTTCAGCGAGTTAGATACCATACAAACAAAAGCAAATGGAAGAGGTATAAGACATCAGAAGGGTAACAATTAAAACTGGAAAAAAGGAGGCAGTCAATAAAGCAGACAATAATTTCCAGTAGCCTAAACATTTATTCTGTTTTTTTTGTTTTGTTTTGTTTTGTTTGGCTAGTAGTCTTTTTGATTGATTGTTGATTTGGTGTTTTGTTTTGTTTTTTGTTTGTTTTTCTTTTTCTTTTTTTCTCATTTATAATGACAATAAAAACATTTATAGGATAGATAGTTCTGGCAAAATTTTTAAGTATTGCCTCTGCAAGCAGACTGGCACAAAATTAAGCAATAGCCACTGTTTGACTCCTGTGTCAGAGACAGCAGCTGGCCCGTTTTGATATCTTCTGATCTATAAATGTTTTACTCTGTTTCCACTTTCTTTCTCTTCATCCATCACCAGAAATGCTAAAGGGGATTTACATTAGTTTTTGTGGGTTTCGTGAGTAACTGAGCCATAAATTGAAAGTCTTACATCGAGTAAGAGAGTTTCCCTTACAAGTAACCCATACTTAGAGAATGTGAAGGACCATTTTAAACCAATTTTTACTTCATACAGTTGCAAGAAAATAGCACTCTCAGTTGAAACTCAGCATAAATTCACCATTTTATTGCAAGCCTTGAAACTTTGTTTTCTTAAAGTCCCGGGTCCTCATAATGTAAGAATCTCAACTTTCACGTAGAACTAAATAAGCAGGTTCTGTGCCTCATTATTTAGAAGCAAAGCCTAAAAATGTGAATTGAGTGTAAATGTGAACTTAATCTTTAGGCTCTACAAAGTAGAGAATAAATAGCAAAGAAAAACAGTAATTACTAAGTTTAATGTTTCCATTTTGGAGCTTTCAGCAGAAGGAACCAGTGCACTCTCCTCTCGGGTCTGACTACAGGAAAGTCTTTACTAAGCATAAGTGATAATTCTAGAACATAACAAGAAGTTAAATTGTTTCTGTTCATGAAAACAATGATCAAAAAGTCTTGCCTCCACCCATCTACTAAGTGTGAGAGAATCCAAGAAACGGAGCATGGAAGTATATTTTTAGATCCACAGCAGAGGATGCTTGCAAAAGGACAAGATAAATACTGGTATCCCTTGTTGGAGTGCGGGTCTTCTAACCTGGGGAAATACAACTAACTTGTACTTTCTCTTCACTTTCTTGAACTAAGGGGAAATCATGGCTGTCAAAGCCTACATGACAAAAGCCCAAATAAAAATTCCATGACTGTGGTCCATAATTTGGACCCATTGTCACAGAGTTTTGTAGACCAGCTATCAGGGTTATTTCTCCACATCCCTACTGCAGAGCTTTGCTTACAGGTCTTGGTAACTGATCAGCCTATATTTTGAATGGTACCCAGGGCCTTCACATACAGCTATGCCAACAAACAGAGCATAGTGCAGAAATCAGGAACCTCTCTGCCTCTGAAAATTGAAGCAATATAACCACAGCAAGAAAGTGCATTGAACAAGTTAGGCTAAGTTACTCGGTTTTCAAAATCAGAGCTGCTTCACCATTTCTGTCATTTGCCTCACAGATGTAACTACATGACTAAGTCCAGCTCAAAGGAGCTGCTCCTACAAAATGACTATTCGAATGAACTTGAAGGTTCCTTACCCTTCTAAAGACAGAAGGTGCATATCCACACAGCTAGCATTATGTGATCTAATGAGCTAGGAACATTATCTGGTACATGACAGACCATACAGCCAACAACAAATACATCAATAGGGATTCCTGCTAAAACTATTCCAAGACAAGCAATTACAGGAAGTTTAACTATTCTGAGAAACCTTTTTTTGTGTTTTTTGCTAAATACACATTCCCTTATAAACTTATCATAAGAGAACCATACAACAGCAGAAACCTACAAGCATTTCTATAATGCTAATTAAGAATACTTCTGCAAATATTCTTAACTGTGTGCTCAGTACCGGGAATAATGGGTTAGGACAAGTTCTGAGCAGAATATGCAACAAGCTTCTATGGCAGAATGAAAACCAGGAATGCTAAGGAATGTTGCTGGCCAGAAAATGTTTGACACTCAGCTGAAAATGTGGGAACAGTAAAAGAGGTAGAGAAAGGCAACAGGTAGAACTGGAGGGAACAATCAGCTGACTAGGCAAAACTGTCAGGCTCTTGACAGACCTCCTGACCATCACGTTATAGCTTAGTTGCACAACACCTCTGAGGAAGGCAGTCCCTCAACCAGACACTGTATGCACAGGTTGGATTTGCAGCAGCTGTCTGCTTATCCTGTCCAAAGGGACAATGTTTGCTGATAGCCACCATCAGCAGTGGGTTGCTGAATGTTGAGATTCCTGGTAAGCTGCTGACAGCACTGCACAACCCCATAACACCCCCACTACAGCCCAATAGCAGCTGTTGCACAGCAGTTCAAGATACGTGCCATGATAAATATGTGCAATTGGTAGGACAGAAGGGAGCAAAGGTACCTCCATGAAAGCAGATACGCCAGCAGAGTAGGAGGGGAGAAAGTGACACACTGCTGCCAAGGGAGCTCTCACACTTGACCTCTGTACTCTTGCCTCAGAGCTATAGGAGACAGCACTGTCCCAACACAAATATTTATTCTCATTCTCTTAAAGAATCTTTGTAGGTTTTTTTTTTTTTCTTTTGAATATGAATTGTTTGTTTAGTTTTTTTCTTTTTTCTTTTTTTTTTTCTTTGAGCTGGTGGTACTAACTTTAAGGGCTGAGAGCTGACTTTTTGATCTGCAAAGGTAGGATCTTGGCCTGAACAGCCTGACAGTGTCATGTTTTCTGCTTTACTCAGCACTGCCAATTTAAACAGCATTGACATCAACACTCAGATGTGGGCTGCTCCTCTGAAAACTCTACCTCCTGCTATCAGCAGTAAGCATCCAAGCCTTCATTTATAATGCATTAGAAGAGTACACAGCTTGCAGACAGTGAAAGATAAGGTATTTCATCCTAGTTTGGGTGCCCTTTTGCGGTCACATCTTCCCCAGTCCTATGGAAAAAGGCAGGTGGTGCCTGGGCACAGGGTGGGTGGAGAAGCCGGCAAAGGATGCCGCCGGGAAAGAGGAGGGGAGGGGGCTCTCACCTTCTCTACGTAGTCGGGCACCTCCTCCAGCGTGCGGAAGGAGCTCTCGCCGGGCGACAGCACGTAGAAGAGAGCTCGAAGCTGCTGCCCCGCCGTGGTGCCCATGGCCCTGCCGCCGCTCTGCGCCGTGCCGACCCGGCTCTGCGGCAGCCGCAGGTGCGCTGACAGCGGGGCCCTCCCTGCGCCCGCTGCGCGGGGGCATCGCGGCCGCGCCCGCTCTGGCCTTTAGCCCATCCCCGCGGCCTCGGTTCGTTTCTCCTTGGCGCTGGGAAACTGCCTACTTTTGGAATCATGCTGCTATGCAGACTTTTCTCTTATTAGTTTTCAGTGTGTCATTGTGTAGATGACCTTCCAGTATTTGAAGAGAGATTATAAGCAGGAAGGGAAGCAGCTTTTTACACGGTCTAATAGTGATAGGGCAAGGGCTTTAAACTAAAAGAGGGGATATTTAGGTTAGATGTTAGGAGGAAATTCTTTACTCAGAGAATGGTGAGGCAGAAGCACAGGCTGCCTGGAGAAGCTGTGGATGCCCCATCCCTGGAGGAATTCAAGGCCAGGCTGGATGGAGCCCTGGGCAGCCTGAGCTGGTGGGTGGCAGCTCTACCCAGGGGGCAGGAACTGTTCTTACCTTTGAGGTTAGTTCCAACCCAAGCCATTCTGTGATTCTTTGTTTTCCAGAAACAGGGTGAGGTGTCCCTGGCAGTTCTTCTGATCAGCTGCTCTGGCCAGTCAACACTCCTCCTGTGCAAAGTTTTTATTCTTTTAGTTATAAGGAGTGCTTATCACAGCTCAATTTTCTGTAGCTCAGATTAATATGATTACACTGAAGGCAGTCTCTAGAAGCCACCTATCATGGTTTCCTTTGTAAAGGAGTGATATGAAGAAAGAGTGAAATCTGTTTCTTGCTTGTTCACTGTAGAAGTTTTACAGTGACTGGAATAAGAACAGGTTTTGTACATTAGGCTGTTGATCTGAAGCTCAGGAACATGCATTTCCCCATCAAATGTTTGTCAGTCAATCTTCATATGATTGGCTGTAGTAACAGTCAGAACCTTTGTGATAAAACAGATTGTCCAGAAAGAAAATAACATAATGTTCCAACATTCCCTTCAGTTCCACTTACAGTCTTTGCAGAAGAAATGGACTGTACGTTCTGCCATCAATGATCTCACTACACACACTGCTAAGTTATTAGGAAAAAACGTCTGCCTTGATGTAACCAATTTTTTGAAAGGAACTGTGACAGATACTGTGAACTGAATTTTTTTGTTTAGGAAAAGAAACATGTAGAGGTTTATATTAAAATAATTATAATAATGCACCTATGGTGTTTGAAGTCATAGAGTTACAGAAACATGGAGTCATTAAGGTTGGAAAAGACTTTATGAGCATTATTCCAACTACTGACCCATCGCCACCATATCTCTCAATTTGAACAGTTGAGGTTTAGATTTGAACAGTGTCTTGCAATTTGAACAATGTAACAGTACAATAGTACATCATGCAAGAGTACAACTTTACTGGAAATATTTTATATTAAGCTAAACAGAGCACAATCAGTTAAAACAAGAAATATTTGGATATTCTCTTCATGTGCCTAGTTTATGCTAGTAAAATGATGTTGGTAATACTGAAAAACTTAGTAAAACTATTTGAAAGTGCATCCTTGAGTTCTTAACTCCAGTGTTGATTAATGGCTGTTTGAGGTTCTTAAAAATTATTTCTAATTATTAAATTCTAAAACCTCAATTCATCTAAATGAAACTCCCAAATTCACCCAAAAATCACACTTTTCTTTCTAGGTAGACCTCCAGAGCGTCAAAAGTTTTCACAGACAAAGTCATATGATAATAAATGCCTTTTCACTTAGATTAGCCTAGGTATTCGTATGGCATTACTCTCACTTCCAGCTGCTTGACCTCACCATAACCGAGATTCTCATTCACAGCATCCTAGTAGGCTACTCTGAGCTGTCACTGGTGTCCATTTTGCTCCACTAGCATCTCACAGAGATAAAATTACTAAAACTGAATCCCATTAAAAAAGAATAAAAATAATAATCATAAAGGTTACTGGTATCTGGGGATTGATCTGCTGCGAAAAGAACAGTTGCCAGGGCAAGGGAGCCAGGTCTACTAGGGGTATTTGAAGTACCAGTGAAGAACAACTACTTCATATTACACCCTTCTGGGAAAGAAGGGATACACCAACAATTTTTTTGGAACTCAAAACTTTTTAAATTATTTTGAATCCCCTTTCAGTGTAAACTGTCACTCAAGTATCACGACACTGAAATTCTTGCATTTGAAACTAGAAGAAACCATTTGGATTTGATTATACCTCACAGGAGAAGCAGGTGGTTATGTTTTCCAGCTTCTGTGCTCAAGGAAGAATAGATAGATGATAGCAATAAGACAGCTATACCTGTGAGTGAGAAGGAGAACAATTTTTAGACGGTCATCTGTAATCTGGCTGTACAAATGTCACTGTTGTTCTCTAAGCACTGAAATTTGGCATACAATTTCAAGCGCTCACTCTTATCTTTGTTAAGAAAAGAATGGAAAATTAAACATCCAGGAATGTTGCTTTAGTGAAAAGCCTGACTGTCCACTAAACAATGCCCCCTACATTCACTGACCTTGTACAACCTCCTCAGAAAGGAGCTGACTTTTTTTAATTAAAAAAAAAAAAAAAAAAAAAAAAAAAAGATTAATAGCATTTTGTATTTTTTGTTTTGTTTTGTTTTGTTTCTCCTCAACAATCGCATCCCATGCTGCCATCAGAAATGCAAAAGGATGTTCTGTCTGGAGACTGTGATTTTGCTGTTGACCATCTGAGCATTCCAGTAACCAAGGCAACAAAAGCCTCTGTTCTACTTAGAGGAAATTGGGGAGCTGGCCTAACACTGTCTGTAGGTGGATCATATTTTGTTTTCTCCAAAGAACTCCAACCCACCCACTTCATGAACTGAGAACGCCCAGACGCTTCCTGTTTGGGTCTCTCTGAGCACTAAACCAGCACTAAATAATAAACTCATAAAGGGAATTAGGGCAGGTTGAAACTGGGATGAGCAATATAGTCTGCCTTGGCAGTCATTCACAGCAACCTGGATCACATCCAGAGTGGGGCTGGGTTTAGCATACTCTACTTATGTACTGATATCTTTGTGTGTAGAAACAGCTTATGTAAGTATATTGTGTAGATATAATAGAATTTTCTCATGTCTCTGTTCCAAGTATTTTGTACCTATATTTAAGCTTGGCAATGAATGTTATTAGGAGAGTGCATCTGTGTTGTTACAAATCTGTTATTGCAAAATATTTCAAACATATTTCCAAGTGATAAACCCTACATTGTATGATACCTTTTCAAAAATATTCAACATTTTCGTTAGCATTAAATAAGCTATCTATATTAATGTCCAGTTCTTAATAACAGTATAACTGACTCCAGAAACCTGAAGTAAGGATATGCTGTGTAGTGATCATCCTAACATCATGAAATTAGCCGCTTGCTGCAAACTCAGTCTTTTCTATCTCTTCTATGCAGGACTGCTAACTATAGAGTACTGATCAGATATGAACATTCTTGATTAATTGTTCAGTTCATTCAAAGATTGCTAAGGTGTCCAGAGAAAGTAATAGACCCTTCTGGTGATCTGTCAGAGAAGCTCTCAGTGATAATAAACTTAAAACTTAATCCTCCCTGTTTCTTTATTAGTATCTGTTCTTGATCCTATTGCAAGATTTTAAACAGTGATGTGCCTGGTATCTTTCACCTTTCTCTCTTTCAGATAACAGACTTTTTGCTATCATTCTTAAAATTTTCCTCTGTTCCCAAGTATAAGGACCATTGGATTCAATTGCACCTTAGACTCTGGTGTTCCCCTTTTGGTGGGTCAGCTGCTGATTTTCTATTGAGAGCAGACAGCACTGCCATCCCCCTTCTCAATTATAACAGGTCTCTTCCTCCTCTCACTTTGCCCTGGCGTCAACTCTTACAAGATTCCACATGAGTTGATTTAACTCACAAAACTGCTTTGCAATAAACTAATCCAGAAGATGTGTATATACACACACATACATACTTTATTACTGCTCTAGTGTGCTAATTGGCTCATAGAAGCCCAGGACACAGAAGATAGGACCACACAGTGATGGAGGTGGTATGGAAAGAAGACTTCATTTCTGCAGCAGCTTATTATTAGATCAGCTGAACAGCTTGTGGAGTCACCGTCTCCTGTGCATTTGCCAAATACAGGTTATCATGCATCAGCATTTATTTATTTATTTATTTTCCTGGAAAACCATCCTCTAGTAGGATGGAAGCTTTTCCTGTTATTTGCCTGTTCACACAGAAAAGAAACATTCTGCGGTACCCTTTATTCTAGCTGACACATAGATTAGATCATGGGGCATCTTCTGCAAGGAGAGAAAGATGGTACTGTCTTGGATTCACAGGGGATAGCCAGGGTACAAGAAAGCTGGAAGGGTGTAGTCCATGAAACATAGTAGATAGAAAATCTAGCATGGGATGAGAAGGATCAGTGGTCTGATTAAGGAGAGAATATAACTGTGCCTGAGAGCTGCAGAAGGATGGCTCTCCAGGAGACTACATAGAACTTGTTTTAACACAGAAGGCCAGACAAGGCTGAATAATGAGAAATACAGAGTTTGAAGATCACGGCCCACCCTATTAAGATAAGTGAGTAACAGAAAAATTGACATTTTAGGCTTATATTTGTATTACACTTCAATCAGCAAAAACTCAGTTTTCTCTAATTCAAAAGTTACTTTTAGTTAAAAAAAAACACCAACAACAAAAACTAAAAACAAATAACAACATCAAAAAAACTCACCACCATCAAAAAAAAAAAAAAAGCAACAACAAAAACAACAGGGAAACAGATAGAAAACTCTTTAGTGAAGATGCTGTGCTGACTTCAAGGAAGAAGAGCAGGGAAGTTCATCCTGAAACTCTAGAGTTTTAGAAGCAGAACATACTCTAATCTGTTTGCATGTTAACCTTCTTGAACAGTGCTGTAGCAGCAAAAGTTTCCCAAGGGAGCCTAAGCAGTGGTTTCAGCTCTCCCCCACTTCCAGCTGCATGCTGTACACTCTCACTGCTTCCCTTGTGTAAGCTGGGGTGGTCACTAGACACTGAACCGAGCTATT